TGAGTACTATGGAAGTAGTCGAATATGACAAGCAGTCGGGTCATTTGAGAGGGGAAACAGAAGAGCTTTTCGCAGAAGAAAAAGGTAATGAAAAAGGTGAGGTGAGTACTGTGAAAGTGGTGGAATATGACATACAGTGGGGAGGTGATAGTTTGAAGTCAGAAGTCAACTATAGTCGGACCATAGTAGTTTGAAGTCAGAAGTCAACTGCCGGTTTACGGTGGGGTGATGGTAGTTTGAAGTCAGAAAGCAACTGCCAGTGAGGGGTGATGGTAGTTTGAAGTGAGAAGTCAACTGCCAGTGCGGGTGATGGTAGTTTGAAGTGAGAAGTCAACTGCCGCTTAGGGTGATGGTAGTTTGAAGTGAGAAGTTAACTGCCAGTTAATAATGTGAGTACTGTGGAAGTAGTCGAATATGACATACAGTGGGATCATGGCAGTTTGAAGTCAGAAGTCAACTGCCAGTTTATAGAGGTGATAGTTTGAAGTCAGAAGTCAACTGCCAGTTAATTGACCCTTTTATGCCGTATGAGTACACGTTGCCCAGGGTGCACCACATGGAGGTAAGTCTATCGCCCACCCGTGCAAACATAATATTGCACTCCATAATCAAAAGAATTTGCCCTCATTTATACATCACTATTCCCAAATAAAAGTGAAAAATGCTTTATGCTGAAAGGCTAGTATATTAACTTTTAATTATTTTAAGAGCCTATATGCGCTGATATTCTTGCCGAATTCTGTCAGATTTACTATTGCCATATCCATCATATCGTCTCGTTGTTTTACTGTATAATGAAAGTACTAATTGCCTTTTATTAGGCAGCCAATACTGAGCCTCTGTTCAAACATTTTGTTAAATTCATATTTATTCAAAATTGTCTCTTCTGAGCGTTTTTAGATGCATATTCTATTTAGTTATGAATTAACGCCCGTTTAATCAGGTTGGATATATCTTAAAAAGCTCTATTAAATTAGATATTTATTATAAAATTGTAAATTTTGAGTTATTTATATTTGGAAAAAGGTCTTATTTGATCAAGTTTTCGAAATGGTTTTTTTTGTTAGACCCCATTCAACGAAAGAGATCTCTAAGTTCATGGGTGTGGATTTTAAGAGCTCTAAGTGTTTCCAAATGACCACGCTATTTTCAATCACAATAAAGAGTGGACCTTTCGACTTCGACCACTGACAACTTTTTCCAAAAAATATATGATACAACTTTGTTTCAAAATTTGCTCTTCTCACTCTAAAATCCGACTCAGCAAATAAAATAAATATGCGCCTTGTTAGTGGAGATGATCAGACTGTAAAATAATTACAGCGCATGGTTGTTTTCAATGACCAAGTAACTCCAAGCCTAAGCTATTCAGTGCGCAATTTTTCTGATTGATTAATTAAATGGCCACCCTTACTCCCTCAACAAATTTAGGATATGATTCGCTCAATGTGTAGCTAACTTCAGATGAATTTCCTTTCAGATGTCAATATTTTTTTCTGCAACGATTTGAAAAAAAATGTGTTGTTTTTTTGAGCTGTCAAATTTCTGCCTAAATTTTGTCATGCTCAAATGGGGTGAAATCGTTGGAAATTGTTGTTGCTGTGGTAAAGTGGTGCTTGTGCAAGAATAATTTCAAAAGGCCATAAACTTGAATCAAAAGAAGGCGCGATTTCTGAAACACGCAAATTTTTTGGCGCTTAAAAATTGCAGACGGATATAAAACGGTGCTGCACATCCCGAACTGTTTCGACTTCTATAATTTGTTTTTAAGTTGCATGAATTTATTTTAAGTTGGCGCATTAAGCCAAGGATTTTGAGGAGATATTTAAAATCTGTTTAAAAATTTTTGTCAAGTAAAGAATTTGGGATGCACTTTTATTTGTTGTTTTCAAACTTTTACTGCACACCGCAAGGTTTTCATATCTGCAGACTAAATTACATTCATTACTTTATGTGTTGCATTTATCAAAGGCTGCATAATGGATTCCGTTGAGTGGACATGAAAACGAAACCAGATAATCAACATTTCGCTACTTAAATCAAATCTTCATGAGTCTTCCTTGTCAATTAAGAAATATCCTAATTTGATTTAACTGAAATTATTATTGAGATTTTGGTTTTAATGAATCACAATCGATATCATACATTCTTAAAAGGATATCTAAGTACAAAGGGTTGAGAATATTCTCAGAAATCAAAAACGTCGTTTCAATCGGTTCGTATTTGTGCGCACATTTGATAAAAATTAAGCGAATATAATGGTTTATGCGCTCAGTATTGGATCTTTCTTAAAGCGCGATGTAATTTTAATCATTGGAAAAGGGTTAGCAAAATGAGTCTCTGAATGTAAATTTAGGAAAATTAATTTGTGTCGATTCTGAATAAATCATTGATACGACACGTAGATATAGAAACTTCTGATTGGCATATAAGTCGATCTAGTTTGATTCATGCGTATTTATAAGTGGTACCGTAGAAAAAATCAAGTGTTTTTGTAATGAGTATTGGAAGTGGAAATAATCTGAACTTTGAACTACTTGACGTGAAGCCACCGATATATCACATATATTTTAGCTTGGAGTGAAAATATTCAAGCATATTTTTATATATATGATCTTCGGCCAATTAATTTATCATTCTACTTTTTTATTATTAGCACATTTTTTAGAATTGAATTAAAAAATACTTTTTACGAAATTAAACTTGATTTAAATATAAAAATATTTAAGGTCATATTCTCATAATAATCTTTATATCCGTCATTTTGGAACATTTATTTATTTATTTCAAATGGCAGGCGTTTTGATAACTATCGTTAGCCATTTAGCTGACTTCGGGCTTCACAGAGGGAAGGTTCATCAAAGAAGCAGAAAATCGAGATGTGGGGAACAGAAGAGCGATTCACAGATGCAAAAGTGATAGACAGACACAAAGGTAGAGAAAAAGTAAAGGTGAGTACTGTGGAAATAGTCGAATATGGTAGAGAGTGAGGTGATGGTAGTTTGAAGTGAGAATTCAACTGCCTGTTAGTAGACTTTTTTGCCGTATGAATATACGTTGCCCAGGGTGCACCACGTGAAGGTAAGTCTATCGCACACCCCCATTTGCGCTTTATAATAGTTGATAAGATTGCTGTGTGAAGTGTACTGATTGCACAAAAATATTTAGTGACAAAAAAAATTAGTCCCGTTGCGGATCACTTTTAGAAATCCTGTACATTTTCATTGTTTCATATCTGGTTGTTTTAGACTGATGAAGTCACTGGCCCAAACCAATATATAAAGAAGAACGGCCAGATAAACTGTGACACACTTTTGCGCGGCCTCTACTGGGTATGCAACCTCCAAAGTTCTCTCAGAGTATGCGAGCATCTACTGAAAAATATCTACTGCCTGATCGATCTCTGCACACTAACTTGGGATAAACCAAAACCAAAGAAGCAACTGAAATCCCGTCACAGTTACCGTCAAGCCCACGAAGACTCCACCCAGTCTTCAGCCACTCGACTCAATGCCTCGATTGGTAGACGAAACTACGGTCGATATGGTTCATATGCTCGAAGCAAATCTGTTGCAATTGCTGGTCTCTCTGCAGGTAGGAGGGCATCTCAACTACGTTCCCGTGGATCTTCCATAGTTACCCATGAAGATTCCGGTAGCGTTGAAAAGCTCGTTAAGGTCACAAGTACTGGACGTCTGATTCCCTTTGGTAAGACAAAAAATCGCAGACAAACCCAGCTAGGTGATGGCGGTGAACGTTCTGGAGATGTAAGCTCGGAAGACGAAAATAGTACAACAAGGAGTATTCGAGGGCATCATGGACGTTCTACTAATCCACGAAAATCGGATCGGTACCTAAATGTGGACTGTAATGCATCGACTCAAGTTAGATTCCAATCTCGAAGACAGACACCTAATAGACAGTCGACAAATTTTTCATCCCGAAGAGCTGCGGAGATTCCTGCTAGTGGGCCTATGCGTGTGTTGCCAAACCGAGTTCGGGTTGTGTTAAAGCGACCTCAAAGAAGGTCGAGGTTGAATGGAAATATGCTGTCGTCACAGGAGAAAACTCCAACAATGTTGGCCGAGGAGCAACAGCAAGCGACCATCAACTTCAGTCTGATCATGGAAATTCTTGTCAAGTCAGTAGCTTAATTCACATTTTAACTTTTAATTCCAACTAAGATTTTAACGATTAAGGAGTAAACCACAGTCCTCATGTTTGTATACCTTTTCCCCTTACCCAGAAGATCAAAGGCTTTAATTTTTGATTATTTATTTATTTATATCAAATGGCAGGCGTTTTGATAGTTATCATTAGCCCTTCAGTTGACTTCAGGCTTCATAGAGGGGAGGAACATCAAAGTGAAAAGAAGTCGAGA